GCTTTTGCGCTCTGATAACTTTGTGAATATCTATCTATCTATCTATCTATCTATCTATCTATCTATCTATCTATCTATTTGTCGGGCAGTCGTCGATGCTTAACCACAGCCGGAGTGTAATCAGTCAGTGGATTCTGTAGACTGTTGAGGGTTCAGCCTCCTGATGAGTCGTTTGGAATTTCCCTTATTTTTAAAGTCAATAATTTTATATATACAGTAATATTCTTACAATTCCTTAAAGATATAATAAGAAAGGACAAAGACAATTTATTGATTTCTACTATTTGAAATTCTAAAAACAAGATTACTCGAACTAAAGAGAATATAAGTAAGTTTGTTATTCTGAAGATTGAGTTCACTTAATAATCTTTTTATAGCATCTCCACCAGTTGCTATTTCTCGATCTTCCAATGCTTCAAACCCAAATCTTTAATCTCTTCTTGAAAAGAAAAATCTTTTCTTAAGAAACAACATACCGCTCCTTTTAAAGCAGCTTTCMCCAGTAAGATAGGTTTTCTTAATTTTAAGAATAATAGTGCTCCGACGAAACAGTTTGCCACAGCCCCTCGTTTCTTGTCCTCTTCTCCTTCTCCCTCCCTCTCTGCCTACGGTTTACCGTCCGCACCTCTGTTTGACTATCTATCTATCTATCTATCTTATCTATCTTATCTATCTATCTATCTATCTGTCTATCGTCAAACAGAGCTGCCAACGGTAAACTGTAGTAGGCAGAGAGGGAGGGGAGGGAGAAGAGGTCAACAAACAAGGGGCTGTGACAAACTGTTTCGTTGGACTTTCACCTACCTACTCATATATATCCCTTTTACGTGATTGGCATGTCAGTGATTCCTTACCCGCACTTCTCTCCCCTCGTAGTTATTGTTACCTACGGTCTTCCTCCCAACACAATGCACCCTGATCATGAATGTATACAACCTAGGTTTCTGGTCCGATACCGTCATGACAGGGTGTGTTTGTGTGCGTGGGAAAGACGGCATGGAGTATGTCACACAATCCCCTTCGTCTCCCCTGTGGCCCCATGACTCTTTTTCTTTTTCCACCTTAAAGCTTTTCACTATTTTTTTTAATTTATATTTTTTGTAACCTCTCACTATTACCCCATGAAATTTTGTCCCCTCAAGATGAGAGATGATTTGAAAAGAAAAAAGAAAAAGGATGAGAGATTGTTGTTTCGTGCGCAACCTGAAGACCACAACCTGAAGACCACAATGCGCATTGACGCAAAATAATCGGTGCCCTAACCACTGAGCCACATGCCACTTACTCGAATTCTTTAATTTTTAATATTTCCTTTTTTTGTGTAAAGAAAGAACGGAGGCCCTTAAAATGCATCAGATTACTTCGGGCAAAAAAAAAAAAAAAAAAACAGAAGAAGAAGAAGAAGGAAAAAAAAGCCCAGTAGCCATTCCTTGCCTGGCTGAATGGTACACACCCATGTACTGCTGATAGCCTGATACGTTTTCGAATCTTAATGGAAAGAGATGAGCAAAACAAAACAAATCTGAATTGCCTGGGGCCAGTCAGTATGATGATGAAACGTCACCGACGTCACCCACTTTTTTTTTTTTTTTTTTTTTTTTGTTTGTTTGATTGTAAGTAAGGACGATACGTAAATGAAGTTGTAAGTACAATGTGGTGTCTCTAAGGGCATAGTCACACTAAGACTTCTTAGGATGCATCTGCATGTGGAAAAAAAAAAGAAAAAAAAAGAAAAAAAAAGAAAAAAAAAGAAAAAAAAAAGAGAAAAAAAAGAATGCATCTGCATGCAATTAATGTCGGGGATCAGACACATCTCACTTCAATCAGGTCTAGAGCTCAGGGGCCTCGACCCACTACCGGTAGCCAAGTAAATTACGATGTGTGACGTGTTTTTTGGGTTTTGTTGTAATGTTTTTCTATTTTTTAAATCGGGAAACAAATCTGTATTCGGAGTGTCAGAAGACATTTTCTGCCTTCGGTCTTCCCATTTCACAGCCAAACTCAGTGGGGGGGGCATGACAGTACCCCCGTTTGCGGAGTGTCAGAAGACATTTTCTTTTTCGGTCTTCCCATTTCACGGCCAAACTCAGTGGGCGCGAAGTCTTGAAAACGCCCCCTGTTTTTGAAGTCTGGATTTCCAGACTCGAAAAACATTTCTGCCTATTTTTCAGTCCGACTGAAACCCTTTTGCCTCGAACGGGATTGGCTGCGGTCGTCCCTTATAGTCTGTAGCGGTTGGCAAATCCTCAGGCCGTTGAGATGGAGGTGCATCAACGATGGAATATTGTCACCGGGGGCCAGACATGATTGAGAACCCCACTACGAAGTATATTACTTCGCTAGTGGGTCAAGGCCCCAGTCGAACAAGTCATAGTATGAGTATGCCATGAGTTTTTATTTATTTATTTATTTTTAGTTTTTCTTTTGTTGTTGCTGGGAAAATCTAGGCTACCAGCCGGCCCGCCCGGGTCACCCTATTTTCCCGGACGGCCCGGCCGTGCAAGGACCAGGGAAGGTCCTAGGGAAAAAAAATAATAATAATAAAAAAAAACCGAAAAAAAGTTAAAAAAACTATTTCATGCAGAAAAATAAACTGAACAACTTTTGCCTCAGGGTTACATCGAAATTGGTTGCCAAATTTAAAATTAAAAATCAAGTTAAAAACTAGGTTACCAATGGTCCGGGGGCGGCCGTCTCCCCCGGACGTCTCCCCCATACGTCCGGTACCCCCGTCGTCCGGGAAAAAAAGTTTTTTTTTCGGTTTTCGATTTTTAACTCATGATTGACTGCGAATTTGAACATGACTCCAAGGCAAAAGTTGCTTGTATTGTTATGTTACATAACATATATATTTTTCAGATTTTTCTGAGTTTTTTTTTTTTTGCGCTAGGTGGGACAACCCCAGTCCGGTCGGACATCCCGGACGGTCAGGGGGGGGTCCCGGACGTCCGATCCAACAACCTAGGTTAAAAAACAATTTTCATTTTTTTTTAATTTTTAATTTTTATTTATTTTTGGCCCAGCCGGGCAAGTGGCCCCGGGCCACTCTGGTAGCCTAGGGGAAAATGAAAACTTTTTGAAAAATCAAAACCTTTTGATATGCCTCTGAAAGCTCGATTTATTTGCAGCATGCCCCACCGGCGGCCAACTTACCCTGTCGTGCCCCTGGGGCCTCTGAACTTTCCTGCAGGCCCCTGCCAGTGAGGGGCACAACTTTCCAGGATGCCCCTGTGCCCGGTGGGTGGCACTCGGGGCCGTTCCCCTGGCCCTGGGAAGGGAGCTACTGCCGCATACTGGAAATTTAATTTGGAACCGGTACCGGTAGGGGCATATTGAAGATATTTCAGGCCCAAAAAACTCCAGGGTTTCTTCGAAAACTTCAATCGCTGTCAGAGGGGCGCGGCAGGGTATGTCCTCCATCAGGGGCATATAAATAGAACTTTCAGGGCATATAACAAAAAAATTCCCTTATTGTTTAATTGTTTTGCAATTGATATTTAATTCTTTTGCAATTGATATGGCAACTCCAAAAGACCACCTGTATTTCAATTAAACCACCAGTACTTGGGCACTGCGCGCCGCGCTGGCCGCCCAAATCTCGAAGCAGCGCGGGCTGTCGATTCGATTTATCGACGGCCCGCCGGCCGTGGAAATCGCGTAGCGTTAACGCTAAGGCTTCGCCCAAGTACTGGTGGTTTAACATTCAAATCTTGAATTCCCTATGGACAGCGTAGTACGATGAAAGTTGTATGCTACGTTCGGGGGGAAGTAATTGCTAATCTGCTAATTCCTAGGTAAAATCGAAGAGAGGAATTACTGAGGTAGTTGCNCGGGGACGTTGAACTCAAGATGTTGATGTAATATTCTATTTTATGTGTATTTATTTTATGTCTATTATTGAGAATGTATTATCTATATATATAATCTAATTCTAGCAGGTGTCAGCACGAAACCCGTAGCAGAAAAACGACCCCTGTATTTCAATACCTTATGGTCTATAGACCTTGCACTCATCAATTATTGCAGTAGAATATCGGAAAGCTTTGTAGCTTCAAAACGCAATAGTCAAAACTATGACTGGCGGCTGAAAGCACCAGTACATCACACATTGGCCCGCAGGTGTCAGCACGAAACCCCCACCGCAGGAAACCCGCACCGCACGAAACCCGGACCACTTTGGACGCCGCCGATTTTTCTTTTTCTTTTCAACGGTACCCCACGCCGCGGGGCGCCTCCGAGTTTTGCTTGTGGCGACAAAAACTTTCTGCAAGGCTGGGGCTGTGTACTTGCGATTTAAGCCGCCACCAGCACAACTGGGACTGTTCTGCTGAACCGACGCGCCCCCGGCGCGCCAAAATTTGCTGAAGCGCCAGCGCGGCCTTTTGAGTTTTGTTTTGGCTGGCGGCGGCAGCAATTTCAGTTCGAAAAGCTGCGAAATTCTCGGCGGTGAAGACGGGTTGTTTTTGTGCAAGGCTGGGGCGGTGCACTGGTGGCCTAAAACCACCAGTTCATCTGAAGGTAAGTTGACGAACCAACAAATGCATTGTGTGGACCCTAAAATCTACAGTGCAGGCCCTTAGAAAACTGAAGGCGGTAGCCTTTTCGCACCGAACCTTGGCCTGGTACTTGTCAACGAGGAAAATCTACAGTGCCGGGGCCATCGACCCGGTTGGGGCGGCCGTTAACGGGGTAGGCGAATCGGTCTGCCCCAGCGGTCCAAATTCATTCGAGGCTGGGGCTTACGAAAAATGCGGTAGGTACTGGTGGTTTAAGTCTACTGTCAGACCCCCCCCTACCCCCACAACGCTGAACTGGTTGTAGACTCAAATTCTGACCCTAAACCCGGCCTTAAAACGGCCCACGAGCTGCTCTTTTGTCTCCTTAGGACTGTGAAGTGGTGTGCGCGGTCTGCTGGGGAGCACATCGGACTTTTTACCTTGGGTATGTGCCTGCCAGTGTTACGTAATTTGGAAGTATTGCATGCCAATGTTACCTAATTTGGAAGTATTGCATGCCAATGTTACCTAATTTGGAAGTATTGCATGCCAATGTTACCTAATTTGGAAGTATTGCATGCCAATGTTACCTTTTTGGCAAACAATAGATACCATTCTTCTTGGGGTATTTGTCCAGGTTTTCCTATTGTGGAAAGTTTGAAACAAAGCCAATGCCACTCCAAGTTTCTATTTTTATCCGTTTCTGAGAGCTGCCATCTTATTTTCCTTTTTTTTTTTTTTTTTTTT